TTGAAGCAACTGCCATGTGATTGGTTGATTAGATAATTGCATTAATGAGAAATTGAACAGGTGTTCCTAATAATCCTTTAGGTGAGTGTATATCCTCATAGTGTGTATTTTATGCAAGATGTTATTATGCTGAAGAAGAACAACTGCCGAGTTTGGTTAGCTTCTGTGACTCAGGAAGCAACTGGCAAGTACCAGCAGGCTAACCAGAATGCAGCTTTGACAGTTGCCAAAGCAAAAACTTGGGTTTAGGTGACATCTGCTGAAGCCAAGGAAAATTACTTTCTCGTCAGCCTTGAAGAGATTCTGGAAAATCCTCAAACATCTCAGGAGGGGTAAACAGGGCTTTGTCCATGCTGTTTACAGAAGGTATGGAGTGCTGTTAACCTCAACTGGGGATGTAGTTGGGTAGTGGATGGAATACTTTGAGGACCCCCTAAATCCCACTGATCTGCTTTTCATGGAGGAAGTACAGTTGGAGGACTCAGAGGAAGACATGCCCATCACTACGGCTGAGGTCACTGAAGAAATCAAAAAGTTCTTCAGTGGTAAGGCCACAGGGGTGGATTAGATTCACCCTAAGATCCTGAAAGTGCTTGATGATTTTGATGATGGTCTTGGCTGACATGCTTCTTTGACATTGAGTGCAGGTCAGGAACAGTGCCTCTGGATTGGCAGAGTGCCGTGGTGGTCCCAATTTCTAAGAAAGGGGACCGGAGGGTGTGTTGTACTGTAACTTCATAGGGATCACACTCCTCAGCTTCCCTGGGAAGCCCTATGCCAGAGTACTGGAGGGGAGAGTCTGTCCATTGGTTGAAGCTTGGATCCAGGAGGAGCATTGCAGATTCCATCCTGGTTGTGGAACACTGGGCCAGCTCTTCACCTTCACAAAGATTCTGCAGGGTTAATAGGAGTTTGCGCAACCAGTGTACATGTGTTTTGTGGACTTGGAAAATGCCGTGACCGTGTACCTTGGGGGGGTCCTGTGGGTGGTGCTTCAGGAGTATGGGGCCCACTACTATGGGCCATTAGTTCCCCATATAACCAGAGCAAGTGCTTGGTTCGCATAGGTGGCCTTAATTGAGACTCATTTCTGGTGGGTATTGGACTCTGCTAGGGCTGTCCTTTATCGCCATTTTTGTTGGTAATTTTTATTGACAGAATTTCTAGGCACAGCCAAGGGATGGAGAATCCCTGTTGGCTTAATCGAGCTGTGATCTTCAATGTCCTGGCAGTTTGCAGCCGAAGGTGAAGCAGCAGGAAGGATCAGTACCTTTAAATTAGAAGCCATAGTTCTCAACCAGAAAATGGTGGATTACCCCCTCCAGGTTGGGGGATGAGATACGTAAGTATCTTAGGGGCTTGTTCACACGTAGGGGAAGAACAGAGCAGGAGATTGACAGGTCAGCAGTTATGTGGACATTATATTTGGCTGTTGTGGTGAAGAGAGAGCTAAGCTTAAAGGCAAAGCTGTTTTACTGGTCAGTTTGTGTTCCAACTCTTCACCTATGGTCCCAAGCTCTGGGTAGTGAAAAACTGAGATTGCAGATAATAGTGGCTGAAATGAGCTTCCGTCGCAGGTTGTCTCGGCTCATCCTTAGAGATAGGGTGAGGAGCCTGGACATCCAGGAGGAGCTCAAAGCAGCGTATATTGTTCTCTGTTGTCTACATAGACGGTATGTGGGCTTGTTTTGGTCAAAAAATGCCCAGAAGCACTTTTACAGACTAATGGTAGACTCTAGAATGAAACAGGCCGTTTTCCTTTTTTTGGTGGGCTCATTAATATGTTGATGAGCTCTGCTCTGATTCCCTACTTTACAGTGAGGCACTGAGATGGCTCACACAGAACCAAAATCTCCACAATCATGCCCTGCATTATGACATAATGATGGTCAAAAACAGACCACATTTATGGTGATGGTCCTATAAGATTATAACCAGGGATGCTGGTGTGCAAGTACAGTAAAATCCCATTATAGTGGAATCACTTATAATGGAATATTGTCTATAGCGGACGAGGTCCGCTGGTCCCGGCCGTGCGCCTTTAAGAACATGCAGAAAAAGCATTGGATACAGCGGATTCGCATATATAATGGAATTTCGCTTATAACGGACAAACAATTTGGGTTTTGGTTGTAGTTTTGTTCGGCTATAACAGACATGCAGGCTCCACCTACAAGGTGTGTGGCGTGCTGGTAATATCCAGTAGTCAGGATTATTAATAGTCACGCATCTGGTCAGGTAAAGTTGCATTACTACTTGTACAATATAATAATCTATACCACAAGTGTGTCTGCCGGGGTGTGGCATGAGTAAATGGTGTCCTGCAGTTCTGTTCTGGGCATACAGCAACTCTGGATATAACGGACTTTGGATATAATGGGCTGTTTTGCCAGGTCCCTTGAAGTCCGTTATAACTGGATTTTACTATACACATTTGCCATATAAAGCCATACACACAGCAATATCACCAAAATGACACATAACAGATCTGCAGCATCACTCAGCATAAGCCCAGTACCTGTGATATTCAGCTTATTGTGGATGAGAACAGAGTGTTTCAGCCAGTATTCAAGTTTGTATGGTGACCGAGAAAGCGCAATGCAATTCAAAAAAAAAAAAAATGCACATCTAATAGAAAAACATGCTAAACACAATAACAGAAATGCCCTGCAAATTCTCAGACCACAGCACATTAACAGAAATGAACTGCAAATTCACAGAAAAAGAAAACTGAACTGTTTAAAGAGTGTATTTAAATGTGATGAACAGGTGTGGACACGCTTGTGACTCAACAAGGTTCAAGGTTACTTTATTGTCATCAGCAGCTTCATACAGTACATGTACAAAGAGTGATGAAACAACGTTTCTCCATGGCCCCATTGCAACATATAGTACACTTAACATCACATTAACAAGGCGTGCAAGGTGCAAACAGGCAGTAAATAAATAGTGCAGAGATTTTACAGTAGCAAGGAGATAATGTAAACTTTGTATGATTTGTGCAGCTGCACAAGGCAGTTAGCAAGATTTACCCCAATATAAGACACCACAAAGTGCAGTAACAGAATCAAAAACAATACAATACAAACAATAAATAGACAGGACGATAGACAGCACACAATTCCAATTTGTAACAGCGGAGGGCCGTAAACCATAATGACTGATATTGCACAAGATTATTATATTGCACTGGTCAGCTGTAGCACTAAATTCACAGTGACAAAAAGTTGAATTTGTAAAATTAACATTGCTGAAATGGATGCATATTGCGGCTGTAACAGTTTAACCCTTATTAAAGTGCAGTTGCAATTTAGAGGTAGTTTTTGTATATGCAATTTAGAGGTATTTAAACAGATACAGTCCAGATATTAGTGTGCATTCAGAGTTCTGATGGCTTGTGGTATGAAGCTGTTGCACAGCCTGGTAGAGGTGGAGCGGAAGCTTCAATACCATTTTCTGGACAATAAGAGAGAAAAGAGTCCGTGTAGCGGGTGGGAAAGGTCTTTTACAATGTTTATGGCTCTGTTGTAGCAGCGGGTCTGGAAAATGTCTTTTAAGGGGGCTAGGGGCACATCGATGATCTTCTCAGCTGCTCAACCATCCGCTGAAGTGTGTTACAGTCCGAGACGTTACAGTTCCCGTACCAGACAGTGATGCAGCTACAAAGCAGACTTTCGATGGTGCTGATGTAGAATGTGATGAGGATCAGTGGGGGAGGCTTGCTCTCTTCAGCCTCCGCAAGAAGTGCAGATGCTGTTGAGCCCTCTTGGCTATAGAGGTGGAGTTGAGGGACCAGGAGAGGTCATCGATGATGTGGACACCCAGGAACCCATAGGTACCATCAAAGTTACAGTCTTGTCTGTATATTCTGATTTTCACTACCTGATCCTGGATATTTCTATTACAGATAACCCATCAGACATTACAGTTTATATAATTTAGGTGTATAATCCTGTAAATCATCCCTTGTTTTACTGCTTATCCTGGTCAGAATTGCCAGGGATCCTGAAGCCTATTTAAAAATCATAGCAATATGTGATGTTTTGTTTACATATGACCTAGTTACAGTTTAAACAAAAAAATTAAACCATTTCAGGCTTTAAAAGGATAAAGAAGCAAATTTGTTTCTGTTTAATACAGGAAATAAACTAGTCATCTAGCATGGGAGAAATTAATGTCTTAAGTGGAACTGTCTCAGACTTAATATTTACTATACAGGCAAAAACTGGAGAAAGAGTCTTCAGAAAAGATGTTGACAAATTTCAAAAAACAGGTAAAACAAAGTTCTTTGACATCTTACATGAAATTTTTATACATTCACTGATGTCCAGCTGAAATGTATAAATGTTTGGTAACGCCTTACATTAACTGCACCTTCATAATGCCTTTATAATGCTGTCATGTCCTGCACGCCTGACCCTCCTGTCTCTTCTCTTATGTGACCGTAGTGAGCCATCTCAGGTGCTTGTTACCCCTCATTATTCCATGTACTTAAATAGCCGTTTCTCTCATCTGTCCCTGTCCAGTCATTAATGTTGAACCTTCTTGTTGCCTGTGCTCCTTCGCAATCCTGTTTGTTTCCAGATTTTGTTTATTTAGTTCAATAAACCCCTTCTGTTTCACCCCAACACCTGCCCTCAAGTCCTTCATCCCTCAAGTCGTGACAAATGTATTCGTAGAACATTCAGTGAACCTTCATAATGCATTCATACAGGATTAATAAGCAGCATTTAAGCACGTTATCTTAACATCCTAACATATATCATTATACGATTGTATTGTTGCGTAATGAATGCATTATGCAGGTGCAGTTAATGAAAACCAATACCAAATATTTCCAGCAAGCAAATGACAGACTGAATAGTTTGTGTTGAATCTGTATAATTCTTTCTCCATTTTCAGATTGCAGCAGACATGCAGGAGACGAACTACCAGCCTGGCAGCTTCATAAAGCTGTGTGAAAAAGAAGCAGCTGTACAACAGCCACAGAATAGAATCTGCACCATACCTGCTCACAAGAGTATCATGGTAACAACCTAAACCACAACCATGGGAGATGAGTGCACTGTGCATTCACATTAAATGGCACATGGCATACATATCAGTTGACCGTGATAATGTTTTTCTCTTGCAGGAACAATTTACTATGAAGAAACAGACCCCTGATTTCTGTACTGAACTCTCTGCCTCCCAGGAAAAGGTAAGTTCTGTATGGTCATATTCTGGAATTAGAAATCACTTTTTATACTGCAGGTTCTAAGCCATGGTGTGGGTTTGTTCCTTTAGCCCTTATTGAAGTTTAAAATAAAGTTTACATTTTTCACAAAAAATGTCTTCCCAGATACAATAATTTGCCCTTATTTACGGTTTATATTAGTTCACCAAATAAATACTTTGCATTTTTTTCCTAATATAGATAGCTTTTATGTACAGTGGAGGAAATAATTATTTGACCCCTCGCTGATTTTGTAAGTTTGTCCAATGACAAAGAAATGAAAAGTCTCAGAACAGTATCATTTCAATGGTAGGTTTATTTTAACAGTGACAGATAGTACATCAAAAGGAAAATTGGAAAGATAACTTTAAATAAAAGATAGAAACTGATTTGCATTTCATTGAGTGAAATAAGTATTTGAACCCCTACCAACCATTAAGAGTTCTGGCTCCCACAGAGTGGTTAGACACTCCTACTCAATTAGTCACCCTTATTAAAGACACCTGTCTTAACTAGTCACCTGTATAAAAGACACCTGTCCACAGAATCAATCAATCAATCAAGCAGACTCCAAACTCTCCAACATGGGAAAGACCAAAGAGCTGTCCAAGGATGTCAGAGACAAAATTGTAGACCTGCACAAGGCTGGAATGGGCTACAAAACCATTAGCAAGAAGCTGGGAGAGAAGGTGATATCTATTGGTGCAATTGTTTAAAAATGGAAGGAGCTAAAAATGACCATCAATCGACCTCGGTCTGGGGCTCTACACAAGATCTCACCTCGTGGGGTGTCAATGAATCTGAGAAAGGTGAGAAATCATCCTAGAACTACACAGTTGGAGTTATTTAATGACCTCAAAGTAGCTGGGACCAAGAAAATCATTGGAAACACATTACACCACAATGGATTAAAATCCTGCAGTGCTCGCAAGGTCCCCCTGCTCAAGAAGGCACATGTGCAGGCCCATCTGAAGTTTGCCAATGAACACCTGAATGATTCAGAGAGTGACTGGGAGAAGGTGCTGTGGTCAGATGAGACCAATATTGAGCTCTTTGGCATTAACTCAACTCGCCGTGTTTGGAGGAAGAAAAATGCTGCCTATGACCCCCAAAACACCGTCCCCACCGTCAAGCATGGAGGTGGAAACATTTTGCTTTGGGGGTGTTTTTCTGCTAAGGGCACAGGACAACTTCACTGCATCAACGGGAAAATGGACGGAGCTATGTATCGTAAAATCCTGAGCGACAACCTCCGATAGGGTTTGAGCCTGGACTCTGACTAGGCTATGCAAGGGCATTCACCTTTTTCTCCTAAATATTTATAGCCATGTTTACAATGCTTTATGAATGCATTATTATTTATTATGAATGTGTTTGTAAAATACTAAACTTTTTTCTGAACAGTTGCTATTATATCTTTCACTTGGCTGTTAAAAGTTGCGCTGAATAAATACAGCTGGAAAAATGTTTTTTTGTGTGTCTTTATTTCAGGCTGTAAAGCAATCAAATGTGATTATTTTGGGATTGATTCTTTTCCATAACCACTGTATGTTAGCCAAGGGCGTAACTTTGGCTGGAACAGTGGGGGGGTTGATGTCTCCACCCATTACAGGGGAAACATGATTATTGGGGGGGGTTGTATTAGCTGGTTTTTATTTATTGGAGGGGCTACAACCCCCCCCCCCCCATAATTTACGCCCATGATGTTAGCAGTGGATATAGAAAGTCTACAACACTCCTGCTAAAGTGGCAGGTTTTTGCATGATAAAAAATTAAACAAAAAAAAAAAAATCATGTAAGAACTTACTCTGCCTTTGTATGAATTTACAGTCTTTACAAAAAAGGTGAAAACGAATCAGAAATGAAAAATGAAAAATAAAAACCATACAAAAACTTGGCTGCATAATTGTGCACACCCTTTAATAATCAATGGTGTGGCTTTGTTCAGAATCAACCAATCACACACAGTCTTACCTTAAATTGTAGTTAGGATACACCCAACATCAATTAAAGTGACTCTGATTGACCACATGGTCGGCAAAGAGCTTTCAAAACATAAATGGGATGTCATCACTGAAAGGTATCAATCAGGAGAGGGGTATATGGAAGTATCCAAAGCAATAAACCATGGAGCACAGTCATCAACAAGTGGAGAAACTATGGCTCAACAGTGACTTTACTAAGATCAGGACATCCCTTCAACGTTGATGAGAAGATGAGGAGGAAACTTGTCAGGGAAAGAACCAAAAGGCCTACAGCAACATTAAAGTAGCTGGAAGATTTCCTGGCAAGTACTGCTTGTCCCCTACATGTGACCACAGTATCTCATATTCTTCATTTCTTCATATGTCTGGGTTGTGGGGTAGGGTAGCTTACGGTGGCCCCTAGAGACAAAACACAAACAAAAGAAAAAGCAGAAACAAAATGAAAATGCGCTGCAAGTGAAAAAAGACAAAAGAAAAAGCAGAAACAAAATGAAAATGCACTGCAAGTGAAAAAGACAAACAAAAGAAAAAGCAGAAACAGAAAGAAAATGCAGAGCAAGTAGACGATCCCAAACCGGAAGTGCTCCACGACGCTAGGGGGCGCGGTGAGCTCATGTGGCCCAGTTGCTACACAGTAGTGATGGGAAGTTCGACTGAATTAACTGATTTGATTCTTTCGAGCTGTCCATTGTAATGAATCGATTCTAAAATCGATTCTGTGATTCACTATTTTTTTCGTCTTTTTTTGCGCCTGACCGTATGACTCAACGAATCATGGGATCGGATAATAAATCAAACGGTGTCTCAAGGTTACGTTATTTGACTGAAAGATGGGGCTAGTGTTCAACAAAAATGTTCAGCTTGACTATTCACAAATGATGGGCAAGCCCCCCCCAGCACCCTCGGGCTCTGTGCCCTCAGATGTCTCAAAGGCAGTGTGCGTAGATGTATCTGAGGCAGGGTTGAGGAGGTCCTCAAAGTATTCTTTCCACCTCCGGATGATGTCCCCAGGTGAGGTCAACAGCCCCCCCACTATAAATAGTAGGAACCAGGAGCTGCTTCCCCCTCCTGATACTCCGGATGGTTTGCCAGAACCTTTTTGAGGCCGACCGAAAGTCACTTTCCATGGCCTCACCGAACTCGTCCCACGCCCGGGTTTTTGCTTCTGCGAACGCCCGAGCTGCGTTCCGCCTGGCCCGCCGGTACCCGTCAGCTGCCTCCGGATACCCCCGGGCTAATAATTCCCGGTGAGCCTCCTTCTTCAGCTTCACGGCCCCCCTCACCTCTGGTGTCCACCATCGGGTACGGGGGTTACCGCCACGACTGGCACCGACCACCCTGCAGCCACAGCTCCGTACGGCCGCTTCCACAATGGAGGTCCGGAACAGTGTCCATTCAGACTCAATGTCCCCGACCTCCCCCGGCATGCAGTCGAAATTCTGCCGGAGGCACGAGTTAAAGCTCCAGCGAACAGGAGCCTCTGCCAGACGTTCCCAGCAGACCCTCACTATGCGCTTGGGCCTACCAGGTCTGACCGGCTTCCTCCCCCGCCACCTGAGCCAACTCATCACCAGGTGATCAGTTGACAGCTCTGCCCCTCTCTTTACCCGAGTGTTCAAGATGGAAGGCCGCAGATCAGATGATACGATTATAAAATCGATCATCGACCTGTAGCCCCGAGCGTGTTCGTACCATGTCCACTTATGGACACCCTTATGCTCGAACATGGTGTTCGTTATGGACAAACCATGCATTGCACAGAAGTCTAATAACAGAACACCACTCGGATTCAGATCAGGGAGGCCGTTCCTCCCAATCACCCCCTTCCAGGTCACACTGTCATTGCCCACGTGAACGTTGAAGTCCCCCAGCAAAACGATGGAATCCCCCGCGTGGCACACCAAATAGCATACCGCTAAGGGAATCCAAGAAGGCCGGGTACTTCGAACTGACATTCGGCGCATAAGCGCAGATGACAGTCAGAGACTTATCCCCGACCCGAAGGCGCAGGGAAACAGCCCTCTCGTTCACCGGGGTAAACTCCGTTGTTAATGCACTGAGCTTTGGGGCCACCAATAGCCCCACCCCAGCCCGGCGTCGCTCACCCGCCGCAACTCCAGAGTAAAAGAGCGTCTAGCCCCTCTCCAGGAGATTGGTTCCAGAACCCAAGCTATGTGTTGAGGTGAGCCCGACTATATCTAGTCGATACCTCTCAACCTCACTCACAAGCTCAGGCTCCTTCCCCACCAGAGAGGTGACATTCCATGTCCCGAAAGCCAGTTTTGTCAGCCGGGGATCGGACCGCCAGGGCCTCCCTTGGCCGCCACCCGATCCACAATGCACCGAACCCCTGACATTCCCCTTGCGGGTGGTGGGCCCACCTGGGGACAGTCCCGCGTGCCTCTTTCGGGCTGTGCCCGGCCGGGCCCCACGGGCCAAGGCCCGGCCACCAGGCGCTCGCCAACGGGCCCCTCCCCCAGGCCTGGCTCCAGGGTGGGGCCCCGGTGACCCTAGTCCGGGCGAATCATGAATAGTTCCAAATATCTATTTTGGCACAAAACCTTCAAGGATCTGCTAGGAAGCTGAAGATAAAGAGGAAAATCACCTTTCAGCATGACAGCAACGTAAAGCATACATCTAAATCAACAAAGCAATGGCTTCACCAAAAGAGGATCGATGTTCTCCAATGACTGAAAATCTACGGGGTGACCTGAAGAGGGCTGTGCACATGAGATGCCCTCAAAATTTGACAGATCTGGAAAAGTTTTGCAAAGAAGAGTGGGTAAAATTTGGCAAGTCCAGATGTGCCAAACTGATAAGCGGTTTTCAAACTAAACACGGCACATGCTGCACTCACCAGGGAGTTTGTGCATCCTATAAAAAGAACAGTGATCTGTGCTCAATGCACTGCGCTGGTTGAGGTTGGGTGCACGAAAAATAGACGTGGTTTTCAAAACTCTGTCTTGTAATTTCATTGTCATTCCAGCTCGCGGTCTGTCA